TTTCTGTTTCTGGTATGGCTTGCCATCTTAGACATGGCATTCTCTGAATATGAAGGCCAGTCCCAACACAGCTACATTTATTCTGCTGCCACAAGCCATTTTAAAATTCTGAAGCATTTGCTATAATTTCAAACTTTAAAGAATTGACGTTCTAGGATCTGGGAGTAGTCCAATGGAAAAGCCCATTCTAAGGTTTTAGAAAATTTCACACCTTCCACACTTACCCATTTCTCTTGGGGGAGAGGATGGATTTCCATCAATAGGTCTCTTCAAAAATCCACTCTCTCCATACCTTGACCCTATTAGTTATCTCTGATTTGCTTCAGAAACCCAAGAATAGTTGGTATTAATATTTTCTTTGCAGATTTTGTGTATGGTCATCTGTCTTGCAGTCATTTTTATTGATGTGTATCATATTTTTTTGACTTAATTGAAATTGAAGTGAAAAGACTTGTGTTTTAGCATCCTTTTACATGTGTATTTGCCTGGAGTGTCTCCCCTTAATATCTTCCTCAAAAATCAAAGATACTGATAGGTGAAACAAAATTCAGATACAGTATTTGGAATCATTTCATTTCATTATGATAACGCTCTTCTGATTAATTTGGCCTAGCCTGCCAAATGCAAACTCTTAACTTTCAGATTATTTACTAGAGTAAGGAAAAGCTGTTTGAAATAACTATTATAAAAAGACAAGAAGTCTAGTGGGAAATTTGAGCCCTCATATAGGAACAGTTTTCTATGAATTTAGTCACAAGAGTTGCATTTATTCCATATGTTCTCCAGTAGGTTGGATGATTTAGATAAACTTTAGGAATCAAATGGCAATAGAGTGAACTGGATCACTTCCAATTCATGAATCTGGAAAAATACTTCCCACCTCATCTTTAATTGGCCTTTTGTACCCTAGCATCATAGTTCATATTGAATGGACAGTGTGAGTTAAAGTATTGCTGTGCTATCTGAACATTCACATTAGTGTATCAGACTTTACTAGCTTTGTAGGTACAAAGGCAGGACATGGACATTTGAAGTGTTAATAACTGATTATATTTTATATAGTTAGCTACTTTTAGCCTCTGTAATATGATGAAATAAAGTTTTGTTCCTTTCCTGCAAGGTGTGCAATTTTTTGAGCTATAGATTGTAGCCTTCTTTTATCCCTTAAATGTGAATTACTAGCAAAATTTAGACTATAGTTTTATACATTTATGCCTATGGATACTATATTTGCATCCTGGAAAATTACTCTATAAAGAGGTATTTCTATTAAAGATTTTCCAGTTTATTTAGATTCAGTGATTTCCTTTTCTTTTTCAGAAAAATGTAATCTTAATGCAGTGGAAGTAGAATCTGAAGGTTTTAGGGAGTCATTTAAAGGAGTATGTATTTATACATATACTGCGTTTATAAAAAGAGACTCTTAAAGATGATTGGACCACTAGATGGAAGGTTTCTGTGTCCCTAAATGACTATATGAAGCAGATCTTCCCCATTTTTTCCCCAACATGCTGTGAATGGACATGTGACATGTATATGTCTATTAACTGTGACATGAAAAGGAGAAATAAACTATTAATACATTAAACTACTAGGGAGCCTGGGTGGCTTGGTCATTTAAGCATCTGACCCTTGATTTCAGTTCAGATCATGGTCTCACCGATTGTGTGTACGAGACCCACATCGGGTCTGCACTGACAGTGTGGAGCCTGTTTGGAATTTTCTTGCTCTGTCCCTCCCACACTGGTACACACCTATGTGCTCTCTCTTCCTCTCTAAATAAATAATAAACTTAAAGAAATGTATAAAACTACTGATATTTGGGGGTTTCTAATTTTATTTAGTGAACCTCTCCTTGTTTAAAATCAGTTGCCTCTATGTTTAGAATGATCAGAAGGAATTTTCTTGAAATTGGGAACATATTATTTAATTATAATAAAGCCAATATCACTTACAAGATCTATTTTAAACTAAAAGCTCAGAGTTTTTAAATATATAGGAATATATGAACAGTGTTGCGTTATCCATCATATTAATTAATTGAATATCTTTGGAGATAGTACCACCATCTGTTTCCAAAGCAATTCTATTCTAGTGAGCTAAAGGGGCTGAAAAAAACTTGCTGATGACAAAGTACAGAATTTTTACAGTGGGGAAGAAGTGCAGTTGTAAATAAAAATAGAATTTGACATATTTAGAGAGAGAGGTAAGTCATGAATTAACACAGTAATGCCAGGAATTGAAACTTAGTGTCATATTAAAGAGAGACTATAAAACAGTGGATCTAATGCCTACATGCTTAAAAAGCATTTGAATATTTGTCAAAAATATAGACTCTTGGGTCTCAAATGAGACATACTCTATCAAAATTTCTATTTTTAAAATGCTTTCATGGGAATTACATTATCTTTATGATGCTTAAATGAAATAACTGTGGGAATTTCTTATAATAGTGCCTGCCATCAAGTAAGCATCCAATAATTGAAATGGATCACCTGGTGTGATTAGAGATTTTATAAAAGTTGATATTATATTTTAAAAATAGCTGATTGGCCTAATTGAGGATTAAAATACCTGAAAAATGATGATCTTATTTATCCTTGGATAAGGTTGCAATGGGCAAAAGAATAACAAAGTTCACCTCTGCTTTTTCATTTCTATGTAGAGCTTAAGTTGATGATAGACCGAGTGGCCTAATATTAATCAGTATAAGTAATACAAGAACAACAGGTTTTGTTAATAAGTTAAATTTTGGTTTTAGTTAAAAGTTGAGTGGTTAATGAGGCATCTCTCTGGAGATAATTGAAGGTATTAGTCTGGAGCTCATAGCTAGATAGGCAGGCAGATTGTGTGTCAAATACAGAGAAGTGACTATAGGCATTTGGTACTTGAAACAGCCAGAGAGAATTTGTAAGATTGTGAAGTTGGGAAACAGAGTCTAAGATTAAACATTGGGAGACACCTGCTTTAGGGTGAAGGTAAAGGAGACAGAATTAGAATAAATGACTGATAAGAGCCTAGTCTGAGACTAAAGAAGGGAAAAATTAGAATGGAGTGTCCTGGAATCCAAGAAAGTAGGTTTCAAAAGAAAGATTGGCCAGTAGTAGTAAGAAATTTTACAGATATTGAGCATGAGACTACTGATCTTTTCATGCGAGCTGAAAAGTTCTCTCCATGGAATTGTACAGTCCCTTTCCTGTGCATAAGACCATGACTTAATTTGTCTGGCATTTCCTGTGCCTAGCACAATATCTTGTATTATTTAATTCCTTCAAGACTCATTGAGGCTCTATTGAGGGCCAAAAACGGTAACTCTTTGGGAAGCTAGGATGACTTATAGTATTTGTTTTCATAAGGTGTTTCCCAAGTCTCTATATCTTGGCAGACTAACATTTAAACTCTTTCTCCTGCAGATCTTTAATACTTGGTTTTAAGGTTTGCTTTGGCATGCCAAAAGAGGCTCTACTTTTATTTATTTATTTATTTATTTATTTATTTATTTTTGCTCTACTTTTACTTTTAACACATAGCAGATACTCTCTGACTTTAGTCTTTCCCTGTATATGTGCAACCCAGTCCTCAACCAAGGAACCCCTATGTGGGAGCCCCACATGGAATTCTGTGTCCCATTCTATGAATAGGTCCCTCCTCCTAGGTGTTCTGCCTCACAAATTCCAGCCACTCCCCAAGTGCCATGAACTCTGATCTTTGCTTTCTTAGCTCAGTGGAATAGTTGTACTCTGCATGGTCTCCAGCTCATTGTGTTGTGATTGGGAAATTGTCTCTGAGAAACACAGAGAGAGGGCAATTCTGGGTTTATGTCATGAGTATCTCATCTCTCAGAAATCATTGGATTTCACTGATCATTGTCCAGTGCCTGAAAAGAGTTGTTGTATGTATTTTTCTAATTTTATGGTAGTTTATAGGGAAAGAGCTAGTTTCGTTTTATTCCATCAGAGCCAGAAGCAAAAAATGCCTCTGTTCATTCAGTCTTGAAATCTCAAAATCTTCTTTGATTCCTTTCTCATCTTCAAGCTCTCACCCAAAATTAAATCCTCTCCTTCTTTCTGAATGTTGTTTATGTCTATTCAACCATTGCTGCAATCATTGCCACCATCCTGAGATCGTCATTTCCCGAAGCCTAAATAAACGCAGTGCCTTTCTAACCAGTCTCTCACAGCTGACACATGATACTTTAATCTTATTTTTTAACAAAAATCCTTTAATTACTCAATATGTTTTAATTAACCAGAAAAGTCAGTTCTTTCTCAATTTATCTTTAAATGATCTCATAGCTTATCTCCTAATGATATCTTGACTTTGCTTATATTGTTTAATTTTCATAGAATGCTTTGATTCTTCAAACATAGTTGTTCAATATTAAGTGCCTAATATGGGTCAGACATCATTTTAGATTATAGCATTACAGTAATGAACAAGATAAAACAGGGTCCATCACAATACAGAACATCAATGTAGTAGGTGAGATAGACATTGAAGAAATATTCACATAAATATTAATTATGCTTGAGTTAGGAGCTGCAGCACAGAAGTACACTATATCTTAAGTGTATTGACCATGCATCTCTATCGTAGACCTTAGACTGCGTTTCTCTGGGAAATTAGAGATACCTAATTTGGTATAGGTATCTCTGGGAAATTTGAATACCTAAGTAGTGGTAGAAGTTAGCTGGATGAAATATTGGTGGAAGACAGCTTTCTGGCAGATAGAGCAGCATGAAAGAAGACTCAAAGGAAGGAAGGAACATGGCCTCGGAGGAGCTGAAAGGAGCATGTGAATAGAGAGTATACTGACCAGTCAGTGGTGAGTAATGGAATTGGTAAATTACCATAGAATCAGATGATGCAGTCACTGTAGGTGACAATGACACTTCTGGATTTTATCCTAAGAGCAAGGAGAAACCTGCAGGTGACCTCATAATGGTCACCAAACTTGCCAGCAGGCATCAGAACTGTTAGATATTCCCTCTTCCCACTCTTCAAGCAGTTACTTTCAGAGGTGGCATGTTGCAATAAAGACAGATCTGCCATTTGGAAGCAGGTAACTCAGTCCATTGAGCACAGTAGCAGCTGTCATTTTGGCAGTATGTAGTCTAGCACTGTAGTCCGGACCCACCAGGGCATTAATCTGTTCTTCATCTGTACCACTCCTCACTATTTGAAAGCTCAGCCTTTGTTTACTGTATGGTTCTTTACACTATATAATATTTTAGTATTCTTCATAAAAAATGTAGTTTGTATTGGGACTGTCATTTCCATGAGGATAGAGTGAGAATTTGCCTCTATGAAATTTCATTTTTCAGTTTATTTATTTTGAAGATTTTAATCCCAGTGTGGTTTACGTACAGTGTTATATTCATTTCAGGTGTATAGTATTGTGATTCAACAGTTCTATACATTACTCAGTGCTCATCAAGACAAGTGTAGTCTTAATCTCTTTCACCTATTTTACCCATCCTCCCACCCACTTTTCCTCTGATTATCATCAGTTTGTTTTCTATAGGTTAAGTATCTGTTGGTTTGTCTCCTTTTTTGTTTGTTTTATTTCTTAAATTCCACATCTGAGTGAAATCATACAGTATTTGTCTTTCTCTGACTGACTTATTTTGTTTAGCATACTACTTTCTAGCTCCATCCATATTGTTGCAAATGGCAAGATTTCATGCTTTTTATGGCTAAAACTAACTAACTAAATACACACACACACACACACACACACACACACACACACACCATCTCTTCTGTATCCATTTACCTCTTAAGGGTCACTTGGGTTGCTTCCACAGTTTGGCTATTAAGAAAATATTGCAGTAAATACGAGGGTGCATGTATCTTTTTGAATTCGTGTTTTTGTATTCTTTGGGTAAACACCAAGAAGTGGAATTACTAGGTCATATGGTAATTCTGTTTTTAATCCTCTCTTAAGTCAAATGAGTATCTTCATGATCACTACTGTAAATTCTCTATCTCCATTTCATTTAGCTGTCTTAACTGTGATTTTTCCTATTCTTTCATCTAGAACATATTCCTCTGTGTCCTCATTTTGTGTGCCTCTCTGTATGTGTTTCTCTGTCTTAGGAAGTTCGGCTATATCTTCTGCTCTTGAAAGTAGTGATCTTATGAAGAAGAGATCTTGTAATGTCCTGCAGGGCAATGACCCCTATTTAACAGAAACTGGCACTTCATGTATGCCTCTTACATGTGTGCCCTACCCTTGTGGCTGAACTGTGTTTGCCTTCACTGCAGAGTCATCTGCAATGGCTCTGTTGTGGGCAAGGGCTGTTCCCTGTGTTTTTAGTAGGCAAGTCTGGGCCTGCCTTGAGTTTGAGCTGAGTCAGACCAGGTGTTTGCCAGACACAGGGTAGCACTAAACTGCAAGGTGCTTTCCCTCTTTGTCCCTTGGGAAACGTTTGTTGGTAGGCAGGGCCTGCAGTCAGACCAGATGTCTGCCCCCAACCCATTGCTGGGGTCTCATCTGGACCCATGTGTGTGGTTATCCTCCCCTCTCCCCAGTGCAGGAATCACTTTGCAGTTGTGCTGCCCCTGTCAGGGCTGGTTGCATGCTGCCAGGCTTGTGACACTGCTTTGGATGGGCTCCCACCAAGGACCTATTGGATACGGTTCCTCAGGAAAATGCAGGGGCAGGGTGTGTGGTGTTAGCAAGGTCTTTGCTGGTCTGCTGCAGAAGGGGACCTGCAGCTGCCTGGGAAAAATTCTGCTGAAGCCTGTGGGGCTGAGAGTGGCATGTCCATTCCCAGAAGAACACAGGGGCAGAGTGTAAGCTGTTAACGAGCTAGGTGCAGATAGTTTCTATTGCACTGGGAGGTGGGGAAGAGAAATGGTGCCTGTTAGCATTTTTGTTCTTGGAGAATTCTCACTGATCCTTGCCCCTCCAGCACTAACCCTGAGATTAGTAAATAAATCTTCATGTTTTTCAAATTGCTACTTGTACCTTGTATCTCATTGGGGTTGTTTGTTGTGCTGTCTCTTTAAGGGTGGGCACCCTGCCCTCCAGACTCTCTCAGAGCTGAGACTACTGATTTTTAAAATTCCAGGGAGTAAGCCCCACTGAATTTTGGGCCCCTCTTGTTTTCAAAGCCAATGTTACGAGGATTCATCTTCCCCATGTGAGTCCCTCATGTCTGGGGTGCTTGGCTTGGACGTCTCCTCCTGTCCCCTCTTCTTGCCCACTGTGACCCTCCTTCCTGCAGAGATAGTCCCAAGGGTCTCAGTCCCTGACTGAATCTCTGCCCTTCCTATCCTCTTCAATGTAGCCTCCTCTCTACCTTTAGTTGTGGAGAGTCTGTTCCACCAGGCTTCAGTTTGTTTTCTGGGTTATTTACACTGATGTGGTGGCTATCTAGTTGTATCTATGGGACAAGGTGAGCTTAGGGTCCTCCTCATCTGTCATCTTCCCCAGAAGTTAATCCTCTACAACATTTTATTTACTTAAAGACTAGGTAGGGCTTGCTGGACTACAGGAGCCCTAATGGTACAACAAAACTTGAAAGGGTATATAAATTCTGCTCATATTGCTCTTGCCCTTATGCTTGACATCACACCAGCATTTGTGGAGTTGAACATGTAACATTGCAGGAGTATAGAACTGTGTTAATCTTCCTTTTAATTCTCACCTACCTAATAAGAGTTATTACAAACTCATTCACTCCCTGGCCCACAATGCTGTTAGTTATTTTAAGAAGAAAGGTAACATGAGAATCACATTTTATTAAGATCTCTTTTACTTAATGTTGGGGAATTTTTTGAAGGGATAGAAGGTAAGAATGGAAGACAGAAGGTTAGTTAGGATGTTTGAATCCAGATCATTTGGGCACCCTCTACTTAGACTCTACCAAATTTCTAGACTCCCAGAAGGAAAGTAGATGTTCAGTATAAACCACATTGTTTTTACAGAGTTAAGGCACAGTGAGTGACTTATCTACTCTAAAAATGTTGGAAAAATTTCATCTTTATACTTAAGTTTTCAAATGCTACCCAAGGGCCAACCTTGCAAATTGGCCTTCCTAAGGAAATTTTAACTTTTCTGCATTGTGACAAAGATAGAACTTGTAGATCATCCTTTGTTTTCCAGTTGATTGTACCATCATACTTTCTGAGTATATTCTGAAGCCAACTATCATTTTTTTAGGTGTAGCTGTCATTTGATTTATACATGATGCCATAGGCTCCTGACTTTTATATTTTGAGTTGTCCTATTTATTTGCTTGTTTACAAATGGCACACTTGTTGCAGTGCTACCTATTTGAGCAAGCATGGGTGTTGTGGAATTCTATCTCCTGCTTCCTTCTTTCCTCTAATCTCTTCTCTAGTCACTACATATTGATCTCATGTCATAACTCTGTTACCCTGAAGGTTAATGGGAAAAACATCCTTCACTTTGAAATGTCTTTTTATGTTAGGTTGCAATTTACCTTCCTCACAACTCACAAATCTACCCAGGGTCTATAGTATTTCTGATTGGAGTGAGAAGAAAATGTTTATGGGAAATTATATAATTTAATGAAATCTTATAAAGATTTAGTATTAGTTAAAATAATTCCTTGGGGAAATGTATTATCCAATAATGTTGACCTTGTAGAGGAAAATACACAGGTTTTGTTGTTGTTTATTTTATTTTATTCTTTTTTAACCAGACCAGTGTTTCATTTCCTGGGTGTCACGCTGCCCATACGAATAGGCTTGCTAAGAAGATCATGTTGGCCAGAATTGTGATGTACCAGACTGTTGTTTGGCTGTGGTCTTGCTGTATTTTAACTTTTTTATGCTTAGAAATTGTTCCCATTCTTTAATTCTTTGTTGCTTGAAGTATATCCCGTGGGCCATAACATTGGAATAAGCTGGGTGTTTATTAGAAACAGAATCTGAGGACCATCCTCAGACCTCCTGAATAAGAATCTGAAATTTAACAAGATTTCTAGTTGATTCATATGCATATTAAAAGTTAGGAATTGTTATTATAAATTCTACCTCTATCCTTGTCTCCTCATGCTTCATTATTAGTCTTTGTCTCTTTCCATTACATATCTGATTATGCTGGGAATTATTAGCTTGTCAGTTAACTTGTCAAGAGTCAGAAGATTAGGAGGCCTGGGTGGCTCAGTCAGTTAAGTGTCTGACTTTTGATTTCAGCTCAGGTCATGATCTCACAGCTTGTGAGATGGAGTCCTGCATGGTTGGTACAGAGCCAGCTTGGGATTCTCTCTCTCTGCTCCTCTCCTTTTCACACACATTCTCTCAAAATAAATAACCATTAAAAAAAAGAGGATTAAAAAAGTGCTGTAAACTAATGAAGTGATTATACCTGGGATCTGTAGAGAACAGTCATAACTAACAAAAATTTTCTAAATTGAATTAATTTGCTGAGTATTGCTGCAGCATCAACTATTAATAAATCTATTTTTTCTCTCATGGTGCTGTCTGCTTTCTTAGCTTCTAGCCATTACCTCAGTTGAGGGCCACTTCCCTGAATGTTCCAGGCTGCTGTCTAAAGGTCACCTTTATTTAGCACAGTATCATCAACCCCAACATTGATGCACCTAGCTGAAAATCTGCCTCTTTTACCTCTTCAGTGCTGTTTCTATGAAAGCGACCACTAAGTTGGAATATGGTTTAAGCTTCTTTTGGCTCTGTCCAAAGAGTATATCTTGGTCAGGAAGAAAGAATGTAATACCCTTTCTCTCCCTCTCCCAATCCTATAGCTGGGCAACCTGCCTGCTTCTTTCCAAACTTACTTGCTTCTTTCTTTCTTTCTTTCTTTCTTTTTTAATATTTATTTATTTATTATAGAGAGGGGAGTGAGAGAGGGTGGGGGAGGGGCCGAGAGAGGGAGGAAGACAGAGGATCTGAAGTGGGCTCTGTGCTGACAGCAGAGAGAGCCCAATATGGGTCTCAAACTCCTGAACCATGATATCATGACCTGAACTGAAGTCAGAGGCTTAACTGAATGAGCCATCCAGGTGCCCCTCTATCTCTTTTTTTAATCCTTTTACTTCTAGCCACTCATCTCCTCACTTAGTTAAT